AAAAAAAAAAAAAAAAAAAAAAAAAAAAAAAAAGATTTTTGATAGATCCGAAACCTCAATGAATAAATTTTTTTCAAGCCAAACAACTGCTATGATATCAATAATGTGGTATCATCAATTGCCACTTTCATCTGCATTTAGGTGTCTTTTTATTGTTAACATTTTCAAGTTCTCAATTTCCATCAATCTGACACCAAAAACAAAAAAATTTCTATAAATTTTTAGCGGTTGAGAAATTAATAATGCAAGAAATTTCACTGTCACACCGATCAATTTCACCAATCAAAAATGGCAAGAAACTTTTATCTTTTCTGTCACTTGTTGCTGCTCATCCACAATAACTCTGCCCAATTATTTTTTTTTTGTTAAAAAATCAAAAAAGCTGTCTGTAAAACTTAAGAAAAGATTCTTTCCATTTTCTATTTTTATTCATGTTTAATAAATTTGATTAGAATCAGTAAATTTTTGAATAAGTTATATAATTATTTTTACTGTATTAGTCTCGATAAACGTCAAAAAAAAAACAAATGATGATACTTTTTCAAGCTAATCTTACAAGTAATATTTGTAAAAAAAAAGTATAATTACAGCACAAATACAGAGGAAACAACTGGGGTCAAACTTGTCGGTTTAAAATGAAGACATAACTTCTTTTTAGTTTGAATTATGTAAAAATAAATGCTACGTTTCAGATATTAAGCTGTTTCAAAAAACAAAAAATTTCTGGCAAGAAATTATGTCTTTAAAATAAATTTGGCAATTTGCCAAAAGTTGATAACGTCACAGTATCATTAAACACCTCCATTGTTGCATGTGTCGTGTATAGGTGGTTGTTTGTGCTGTATATAAAAAATAGTTTTGTTGTACTTAAGGATCTCAGAAATTGGTCATACTTGAAGAATTTTTCCTCATTATATGGGGTGTTGAGATTCTAGTGTTGGATTTACGGTTACCCAATTTTCTGGCGAGGTAGAATAATTTGTTTTTGCTCTAATGCCTATTTTTTTACGACATTACTGGACCTTATTTTTACTTTTTTCATGCTTATCCGTATCTGATGAATATTACGTTTCATATGCCGTTGAAGTGTTAGCCCAATCTGACCAATAGACGGAAATATATTCTCATTGTAATCTTTATTATCTCATCTTTATTTAAAAATTTAGTTGCAAAGTTTTTTCACTACGTTATGGATCCGGCGTTGCTGAAGCAACAAGCTGCTTTCAAGCAGCGAGCAGCTCGAGCTATGACAAGCAGGACCAAGAAGGAAAAGGAACCAACCACAACGTATTCTCACACAACTTATGAGTAAGCTTTCAGCAGTTACTGCTACTGTTTTTATACTCTTTTGGGTAAAGTGATGGAAGTACTTCTCTTAAAATTGCTGTAAAATTTTTGGTTAAACGTGTAGTTTAAAAATGATTTTATCAAAATACTTATTATTAGCATATTTCTAGAAATTTTTTGAATTATATATTTTTTTAAAGCGTGGAAGCCAGTAAAAAAACGAAGAAGAAAACTCAGTCCGATCCTCAACTAGCTGCTAAATGTAGGATTTTTTCGACAACTTTTTTTTGGTGCTGAAAGTCTACTCGGATTAGTGGCAACTGGGCTTTGTCTTGCTAATCCTTTTCAATTTCTACCTACTATACATCAAAAATGCTCGTTTTATTCGTTGTGCTTAATTTTTTAGCGTTGTCAGAATATAACGCTAAATCGAATTCTATGACCAATGCGACTAATTTCGGAACAATGGCAAAAATTGTTGACTATATGAAGGTTCATTCTAATGCATTATCGTAGTAGTTCTTTCGTAGTAGTACGATTGGGGTTGCTTCGAATTAATGCTTTTAGAAGCGTCATCTTAGCGGGCAGCAGTGGCCTTTGAGCTTGAAGGAAATTTTGGATGAACTACAAGTTTATGACTTGTCTAAAAAATCAGAAGCGTGGTTGCAAGAGGTAAGGTATGAAACCTCAGTAAAGAATTTTGTCGTCTGTTTTTATACCTTTCATTTTATTATGGGATCAGATTAGATTTATGTTTCAGACCGAGAAAGATCTGTTTTATGGTTTACTTTTTAGGTCCTGCCGTCAAACCCTCGTTTGAGTGTTGATGAGGATGGTAAATTTTTGTTTAAGCCTCCTTACAAAGTAAAAGGTAAAAATTCCCTTTTGGCTCTTCTAAAGAAAAATTATGCCGATGGCAAAGGCGGTGTTTTATTATCAGACCTGAACGAATGCATTCCCGCTGCCGATAAGCATGTTGAAGTAAGCCTTCGTTAAAATAAAAAAAATTCTTAACAAGAGGAGTTGTGTTTGAACTTGATCCTTTGTGTTTCCCAAGTCTAAA